TCTTCACAGTAACAGAAACTCAGAGAGAGAGAGAGAGAGAGAGAGAGAGAGAGTCTTATATATGTATATAAACATGTACAAGGTATGCAATTTTGGGGACTAGGTTGAGGAGAAAGGGAAGATTTCACATTATGCTTCATATACATACCTTTCTGTATTTTAAATCTGTATAATGACCACATATTAGGTTTGGTTTTGTTGTTGTTATTGGTGGTGGTGGTGGCGGCGGCGGCGGCGGCGGCGGTGGTGGGTGTGAAAAAGAGAGGGTCTCATGGAGAGAAAGGTGGTCTCGTGGAGAGAGAGAGGTGGTCTCATGGGGAGAGAGAGAGGCGGGGGTCTCATGTAGCCCACATTGTTCTCAAGCACACTAGATAGCTGAGGATACTCTTGAAATCCTATCATCCTCCTTCTTCAGGGTACTGGGCCTGTAGACAAGTGCTAGGGATTATACTCATGTGACACCATTCCCAGGTTTAGTTTTGTAAAATGCTGAGGTAAAACTCAGACAGCATAAAAATTTTTTAAGTGTGTTAATTCACTCAAAGCTAAGGTTCAGAGATCATTTCAGAAGAGCGGGTGGGAAGATTCTAAGAGCCAGAGGATCAGGGAGTTTGCTATTCGAGTGTGTCTTCTAGTAATGTTAGAATCTATACTCATAGTCTCATCAACATGAAACATCAGCTGAACAAGGATAGCAACAACAGACATGTTAACTTGGATGGGGAAAAGCTCATGATGCCTCAACTCTACATAAAGAACTACAGGCAACTGAGCAAAGCTGGGAGCAGGAGAAATCGTCTTCCCCAGGGAAGAGCACACCAACTGGTATCCAATACCAAGTGGTCAGCCTGAAAACATACATATGGGTAATGTCATACAGACCAAGCAGGTTATATTTAGGAGTATATATGTCTTCTACACTCATATGCATGTAACAACAATTAATGAAAAAAGAGGCAACAATTAATGAAAAAGAGGAATTATATAGGTAGGAAAGGGAAGGGGGAAATGATGTAATTATTATAATCTAAAAAAATAATTTAAAAACATAAGTGTAATTCATAACTTCAGTACATTTGTAAGGTCATACAACCACCAACCATTATCTTATTTCAGATACTCTTCACTGCCAAAAGATAACCCTACACCTATTAACAGTCCCTCACTGCCCCATCTCTGTAGCCACTGGCAACCAATAATCTGCCTTTTACCTTTGTCTTTCTGAGAACTTGAAAGAGAGTCATACCACTTGTTACCTATTGTATTTAGCTTCTCCCTTTTTGACACAAGATTTCTCTGTGTGTCCCTGACTGTCCTGAAACTCACTCTGTAGACCAGGCTGGCCTTGAACTCACAGAAATCCACTTGCCTTATGGCTGGGTGGTGGTGGCAGCGTTGGCGGCAGCGGTGGCGCACACCTTTAATCCCAGCACTCGGGAGGCAGAGCCAGGCGGATCTCTGTGAGTTTGAGGCCAGCTTGGTCTACAGAGCGAGATCCAGGACAGGCACCAAAAACTACACAGAGAAACCCTGTCTCAGAAAAAAAAAAAGAAAGAAATCCAACTGCCTCTGCCTCTCGAGTGCTGGGATTAAAGGTGTGTTCCACCACAGCCCATTTGTGTCTGGCTTCTTTTAGCATGCTTTCATGGTTCACACTAAACATATATCCAGAACTTGCTCCATTTAAAGGCTACAGATTACTGCTTTCTGTTTTTAATTATGTGTGTGTACATGTGTGCATGTGTTTGTGGGTGCCTGCAGAGGCCATCAGATCCCCTGGAGGTGGATTTACAGGTTGTGAGTCATATGATGTGGGTTCTTGGAACTGATCCCAGCCCCTCTGCAAGCCATCTCTCCAGACCCTAGATTACTTTTTAAAAATTGTGTCTGTGTGTGGGTATGTGCATGTGTGGATGCAAGTGTTAGCACATTTAGGCATCTGTACTGGCCTGCCCTTAGGGTCCTGACAGGATATACCTCAGCTGCAGCCACTAAGAGCACCCCTTGTGTGATTCACGTTTCCTTATAAAAGGCGGGCCTTGTACACCTCCCATCTCTCTCTCTTCCTTTGCTCTCATCCCCAGGGACTGGTCTCTGCCCCCTTTTCTGCCCCTTCTCTCCCCTTCCCTCAATAAATGGCCTACATGGGCCATGTTGTATGGTGTGACTTCTTCCTGCCATTTTTAAAATACAACAGCAAGTGCCTGAGAAGTCCAGAAGAGGGGTAGAATTCCTTGGAGCTGAACTTAACAGGTGGTTGTCAGCTGCCTAACATGGGTGCTGGAAACTGAACTTGAGTCCTCTGCAAGGGCAGCAAGCATTAATTCCTGAGCCATCTCTCCAGCTCCTACAGATAACTTTATAAAAGATTTATTTCTTCTGGATGGTGGTGGTGCACTCAGGAGGCAGAGGCAGGCAGACCTCTGTGAGTTCGAGGCCAGTCTGGTCTACAAATCAAGTTCCAAGACAGCCAGGCCAGTTACACAGAGGAATCCTGTCTGGAAAAACAAACCAACAAAAAAGATTTATTTCTACTTTTAATTATATGCTTATGTGTGCATCTGTATATGGGTATGTTTGTATGAGAGCAGGTGCCCAAGGAGCCCAGAAGGTGTTGGACCCCCTAGAACTAGAAATAGACATGTGTTATCTGCTTGATGTATAAATTCAACTGCTGAGCCATCTTTCCAGCCTTTAGATTACTTTTATAAATAATAAAAAAAATCCTTAAGTGGTTCTGATTTCTAAAATATGCGGAAGCACTTCTTCCTTCTGTACAAATCACTTTATAGAGTCCCAAAGAGAACATCCTGAAACCCAGCATCCATGGTACAACGCTTTCTGCCTCGATATTCCTACCACTCTTAGTATCTTGTAAGAGGTCTTGTTTCCAAGATTAGCCCCCATACTCCAGTTCTCTTTTTCTTTCTCTCAAGAAAGGTTCCAATGGGCTTCCCTAACAGCCCTTTCATTTTCATATCACTTTATTCAAGTATTATCATTCATACAATACACCTCGTTAGGGCCTTGACCATCTGGCTTTTATTTGCCCTATCTCCCCACTAGCATCGTAAAAGAAACACAGCACAGATACAGGCAAAGGCATAATTTGGAAGTTTGTGATCTGTTCTCTTTGCTGAGACAAAGTTTTGTATAGCCCAGGCTAGTTTTGAACTTGCTAGGTAGATGATGGTGGTCTTAAACTCCTAGTCCCCCAAGTGCTGGAATTACAGGTGTACACCATTGTTTATTTTTGAGACTGGGTCTCAACCGGTAGTTCAAGTGGGCTCTAAAATGTGTGATCCTCCTGCCTCTGCCTTCTGAGTGCTGGGGTTATGGTTATGAGCCACTTTGAACCTATCTCTCCCTCTCTATAGGAGGTTATCTCTCACTATGTAGCTCTGTAGACCAGGCTGGCCTTGAACTCAGAGGTACACCTGTCTCTGTCTCCCAATTACTGAGATTAAAAGCATGCGCCACCATGCCTGGCTGTCTTTTCACAAAAAGTCAGGTCTGCTTGGCTTCACCACACAGACCACATGGACATCATGTCTTCCATAGTAACATTTTCAAATATAACTTTCCAAGTAATGGTTACTTGATAGTTTTCATCTTCTAAATATAGTCAATCATAAATTTTGTTGTGTACCGTGAACGTCCACTGGAATCCTCATCCAAACAAGGTGAAGTTAGTTGACAGAGAAACTGGCACTTTGCCTTCACAACTGAAGACAACATACAAATCGGAGGTTTTGTTTTGATATCTTTCAAAGGTAGGCCTGGGGCTCAGTGGGTTAGTTTGTTGCGTTTGCAGAGGACAAGTTTGGTCCCCAGCACACACGTCAGATGGCTCATATCTGTAACACCAGCTCCAGGGGATCTGACAACTTCTTCTGGCCTTCTTGAGAACTGGAACACACACACACACACACACACACAATCCTTTTTCAAAAAGATGGACCTGGTAGGTAAACTAGGCATGGCTGTGCACTTGGGAGGTGGAGGCAGAAGAATCAGGAGATCAGGGTCATCCTTAACAATATAGCTTGTGCTGTATGATACCTTCTCTCTCAATAATTACATAGATGGTACGTTCATTTAATTTTCCTGGGAAATAGTGGTAGGGCTTTGGTATGATCTTTAGTAATTGCTAGGGACTGCAGATGGAAACAATAAGGCAGCTGTCAACAGTTGTAATTAGCAAAAAAAACCATGTAACTCTTCTTTTCCATATTTTATTATAGTCATTCAGATGGGACTTAATCATGGATTTTAAATACATACATACACATATGTGCCAAGCACCAGTAGGTAGCATTTGTAGGAAAGCATACTATTTTATGTTCCAGCCACTCATCCATAAGAATGCAGAGTTAGAAACTATATGTAGGAGAAACATACAGTCCATGAATTAAAACTTTGATTTCTGACCTGGGTAGTATCAAGCTCAACACACGAGATAAGAAAGTTCCAGCAGGACGCAGGTGGAATAGCTGAATGACCTGTTACCTGTCAGATAATCTCTAACTGGGCATTTTGATGTGTTCATTTACAGAATTACACACTGACTTGGTGGCAGTAGACTTGATTTAAGCATTGGGGATCTGAACTATGTGTTAGAAGGAGCAAGACACAATGCAACTCTACTGTCTTTAAAAGGTTGCTGCTCCTCTGCAGGATGACATCTCTATATTGTGAAACTCTGGACTGACCACATTCATTTTTGTTTAACCACACTCACCCAGTCCCACTGCTTTTTGAGGTATGTACTTTGTTTTGTCCTACCAGGGGAGGGAACGCAGGGCCGAGTGTATGCTGGTCAGCCCCTAGCACTGAACCACCTCTCTAGCCCTCCTTCCACATTTGCTTATCTTCAAGCTATTGAACATATGAGATATTTGTATTTCACCCTGAAGTAAAGCGAGAGTTCGAGGAACACAGCACTACTGCTGTTACCAAGCAACCCTGGACACACGCTTTTACAAAAAGACACGCAGAACTGAAATTCAGAACTCATTTATTGAACGAATAGTATATGCAAGAATACCAATAAAAGGAAACTAATACTACAAACTACAATTCTGAAAACAAAACCAATAACAGGAACAAAATATACATAACATGTGAGGAATGTTTGATTTTTGACCCATGATGCATTCCTTATCTTTACAATTAACTTAAATGTCTGTTAAAACAAAACTGTGCCTTGGTCTAACTTCAGTGCTTTTTCAAAAAGCAACAACATTCTACAACACTTTTGCTTTGAAAGATTTGAGATTCACACATTTGTTCAAGTACACAGATTCAATTCAATAGCAGATCTATAGGTCACATTACTTTGTTAGTATCTTGAGTAGTGTATACTGCACAAGTACCACCTCAAGTTTGAAACTGCTGATCCTTGAAATGAAATTGACTTCGGGTGTGGGTTTTAAGCAATGAGATGAAAGTAACCCCCCCTCCCACCCCAGGAACTCGTTAAAGTAGAGAAACTCAAGTCTACCCTTCTACTCTAAAGAACATCTCCTACTAACGCTTCTGGTAAGGCAATAAATGCTCCAGAATAATCTTCAATATACGCTTGCAAAGGTTACACATTTTAATATTAATAATGACAAAAAAGAATAAAACAAAGAAAGAAAAACAAGAAAAAAAGACGCATCAAAATTGCAGGCTAAAATACGCATTAGACAGCAATGGCAGTATTTTTGGAAATGATGTAAATGCCATATATTTACCAAATAATGTCATGCTTATTAAAACTACAGTTAAGGACTTAAGAGATGTACAGTTAATACACTGCTGAGGTCCATTTATCTAAATATTAATACCACAATGTAATTACTAGCCAGGTGATGAAGATGCTACTTGGGAACATAAGTACTGTACAATTTTTACATTGTAAGGCACTTTTACTCAGCATAGAATGAGAACAGAACAAAGAATCAAAATATTGGAAGTTTACACCCAAACATGAGTTTTTAATGTGACTTCAGTTTTAAATGAACGTTATTTAGCCAATCACACCACAGTGAGAAAAACAGGTAGTCAACCATTTATCTAAGCAACCAAAAGGTAAAGTGCTTTTCTGGTTGCTAGTGGCAGAGAAAGGGCTGAAGAAACCCATAAAAAGTCATACATTTACTACACAGCAAATCCATCAACTGACAGCTATAGTATTTGAAGTTCTTTATATAATTATTGACTGGCCAGAATTACCCCTGGCACCTTCCATTTTACTTAAAAAAATCATTACAGTAGTTGTCCAAAAATGAAGGAGCTCTATTTCTCCATGGGTAAGTTCTATGGCACACAATGTAAAAATTACCTAGACACAGTGATTTAAAGATTTAAAAAATAATGTTTTCAAGCTGTTATAAGGAAATAAAGTACAGATCCTTTGGAAAAAGTCACATCGCTTGGTAAACAAACTGAGATCTGTCCTTGCACTTCAAGTCATGATGAACCTTGAAAATTAATCACATACACATCATGGCATATTAAGAGCGAAAGAAGACGTACAAGGCAATCCACTACTAAAGCTAGTTTCCTTCTAAAATAACAGTAAAAGATGGTTAAAATAAAGCAAGCATTGAGTCCCTTGATTTAAGTGAATATGTAAATACACACTTTAACAAACATGATCTTAAGGGACTAGCAGTTTAAAAATTCAGTCAATAAGCACAGTGTAATTTTCCACCTGTTACATTTAAAAATGCTGTTTAACCAGCTGCAGAAGAGATCAATGTACAGTCAAGTTAGTATGTTGTTTCTTATTTGCAAATCTGATTCATTGTGGTAGGTTAATTAATAATTCAGAACTCAGAATCCCTACTGAGGTGCTACGGTAATATTAGGCAGACCATAACTAATTTTTTTGGTTTTGCCATAAAGAAATATATAAATGTGCTTCAGCAGGTAAGTGGAAGAGTGCCACTAGCGAGAGTCGCCAGTGGAAATCCTTTCTAAAAATCTGGTGATTAAGAAAACACTTCCGAGCCCTAGAAGAAAGCAGGGCACAAAAGCCTATTCAATACATAAGCAAACCAATGACTGAAAGCATTAAATAAAGTTTCTAAAATAGTGGTCACAAAATCAAAAATAAATACTGTTTTACTCAAAGACTTTTTTTTTCTTTTTTCTTTCTTTCTTTTTTTCTTTTTTTCTTTTTTTTTTTTTTTTTACTCTGTTAGCACATAAGACCTCTGATATACTTTGGGCCAATATGTGAAGTGTTCCACACCACAGGGCACTTGAGAGGAACTGGTTTCTGGTTTCAGATATAGTGTCCAACGTCCTTAGTGCGTTGGTAACCTCTTTAATCTCAAAGAAGTTTAATCTGCTGCTGCCAAGCTTTATTTTGATCTTGATAGGATCCCATTATTTTGCCAGAAGCTCTCTGTACAGCACAGAAAGGTGTACTGTCAAGAGAATTTTGGCAGACGCACTGGAGCTCAGAGCTTACCATCACCAGTTGCCCAGAGTCCATGCTGGTCAGTGAGAAGAACTTTAAAAAGACCATAGGAAGGCTGCAGCACGCTTCTCGGAAGAAACAAACTTTAACATGTGCTGTCGAAGCCAAGATAAAAAGAAGGTTCTTTTCATTTGTAGTTTCCATTGCTTGAGTATGAAAAAAAGTTCACAAATTACCAGGTGTTGCCACCAGAGACATGTTTGCACGGTGAACTTTCCTCCGGGTTCTTTTGAGCATGGATCCACTACAAACTTAAAACACTCTAAAGAGTAGAACTCTGTTCAGTTCAGAAATACAGTTTATGCCATTCAGTGTCTGCTTTAATTGCTGACAGTATACACAGGGTTAATAGTGTTTTGATTGCTTCCCAGAAACTGCAAACTACAGCTACGTAATATCAATATGTCAAATTCGGCCATCTAGTGAAGGCTCAGAGAACAAACAAGGTGTTTTTAGGCAGTTCAATGAAGGATCTAAGAGTTGGGCAGTAAAAAGTTACAAACCCTTTTTTATTTTAGAAAAGAGTGAAAAAAAAGCATAGGAGTTATAGATGTCTTATTCTCAGTTTTCTAACTCTCTCTGTCCCACGAACCTGTTTAAAAGATGAGAAAACATGTAAAACATGATGTTTAAGGCAATATAATCAACATAACATTATTGAGAAATAGGGGTATCTTATTGATTCCACATTCTGACTATATTTACTGATAAAGTAGACAGCTTGTTTTTATGGTTCTAAAACTCACCAACTAAAGAAAAGAACAAACAAGTGTGCAGGCTTATACAATCCTCAGCATTCTGGCACCACCCTCATAATTCAATACCACAGGATTAAAATGCGTGCTGCACGTTGTCTTTCTGTTTCAGTGTACGTGGTATTCTGACAACACGGCTCATCAAATCAACTTCCATACCTAGTTCCCATTGAGCTGCTGCTGGGTTAGCTGCTGATCAATCGCTATTCTTCCCCGGCTTTTACTCTCTCGTTCCTCATCTTCTTCATCTCGCTCATCATTCCCACTATGGTTTTTACAATACAGTCTACAATGGTGAAAGACAAACATCTCAAAATCCTGTGTCTAACGTGGATGAGAATATAATTAAATCATCATTAGCCGAGGTTGGTTCCCTTATAATATATAGGTTTCCTCATTCACACTTAGTACCATGAGATACATCATCAGGTAAAAGGCACCCGAGGATAAGCCCACATGGCGGAAGGAGACCGTGGCCTCCCAAAAGTTGTCCTCAGATCTCCACATGTACACCATGCCACACACGTGCCTCCAACAAATACATAAAACAAATGGAACAAATTTCTTTAAAAAACCAAGTTTTATAGACAGAAGGGCTATTCGAGTTCGAGGCCAACATGGACTCCAGAGTAACACCCTGTCTTAAAACAATCCTAAACAAAATCCAAAAATCAACTTTCATGTAAACAAATGAACTAACCAAATGCTACAGATTTATTTCAGTCACATAATTTACAATCACATTTTAAGAAATATAGCTTTAAAAAATATTTACTTTGTATTTTTCTTCGTGTATATGTGCAGCCAGAATCCAGAAAAGGACACTGGATCCCTTCCCTTAAAGAGCAAAAAGTGCTCTTAACCACTGAGCCATCTCTCTGATCAAAGAATGTATTAAAGGTGCTTGCTACCAACTCCAATAGCCTGTGTTTAATCCCCAGGACCCACATGGTAAAGAATACAAATAAATGTGCGCGCGCGCACACACACACACACACACACACACACACACACACACACACACACACACACACACACACACACGGGGGAGGAGAGATCTATTCTCCATACCCTGTTACTTTCTGCTTGTATTTTGTGACACAGCCTTCCTCAAGCTCATCAAGTGCCTCTGCATCCCGAGCTTCCTTGCCTTCCCCAGATTATCTTTAGCAGCTCTTTTCCCTGCACTGCACTTGGCACTTGGCGGTGTCTCCTTATCTACAACGGCCTTTCAGATTTCTTTTCATTTCCTAACACTGACCTTTTTAAGTTGGGATTGGAACAGACAGCTTCTCAGCTGCACCAAACTGGATTTGTCTAGTACCATTTTATTTGGTTATCTCTCACTCCATTTCATACAAACCAGGAATAAAATCTGAGTGTGGTCAGTTTTAGGTCCAGCTTTAGTCTATCAATCAGGATGCTCTATAACTGATCCTGTCCACTTTTAGAGGCATGTGATTTTCAACTGCCCCTCTATCAATGATGCTATAATTAAATCATATGATTAAGGCAGCAGTGATCAAGTCAGAGTTAGTCTTTGCATATGTAGGTTCCCCTTTAAAAACAAGCAAGTGGTTTGCTGGAGTGATTTTTTTTTTAACATCGTACTGTTCCAGCAAGTATTGATTTGGGCAGATACACTGTATATTTGAAATTCATGAAGTTTTTAAGAGAAATAATGTAGGTGGCTTTTGATAATTAGCTGTGGAAGGATAAATGCAAGTTCAAGGCCTGACTAGGCAACCTAGTGAGACCTTGGCGAGAAAGAGAAAAAGAAAGAGAAAGAGAAAGAAGGAAAGAAAGAAAGAAAGAAAGAGAAAGAAAGAAAGAAAGAAAGAAAGAAAGAAAGAAAGAAAGAAAGAAAGAAAGAAAGAAAGAAGACAAAGCTAGGGACTACCTAGCATGTACATGTTCAATCCCCAGAAACACACACACACACACACACACACACACACACACACACACACACACACACACATCACAGAAAAGATGATCTAAAGAAAATATGGTACATGCACTCAATACACTTTGGCTTAGCCAGAAAGAATGCACTGGCATTGGTGCAGGAACTGGATGGAAGTGGAGATCATTCTGTTAATTTAGATCAGTTCCACAAAGACAAGTGTATGGGAGCTAGGGGCTAGAAAGACCACGAAACTAAAATGGAGACTATTAAGGATAGGGATTAGAGGGAAACAGAAGAAAGTAACAGGACCGAGTGTGACTGAAGTATGTTACAGGCATGCTGTAACAAATAAAACCCCTTTATACAGTTAGTATATAGTAACAAAGAGAAAGAAAGAAAGAGAGAGAGAGAGAGAGAGAGAGAGAGAGAGAGAGAGAGAAGGAAGGAAGGAAGGAAGGAAGGAAGGAAGGAAGGAAGGAAGGAAGGAAGGAAGGAAGGAAAGAAAGAAAGAAAGAAAGAAAGAAAGAAAGAAAGAAAGAAAGAAAGAAAGAAAGAAAGAAAGAAAGAAAGAGGAGAAGATGATGGTGGGCTGAATCAAACCTGGTTTTAGGTCATTTTTACGCCAGAAAAAGATGGAACAGTGCCCTCTTGTGGTCAGTAGTGGATAGAGGGCCCAGCGGAAGCCTGGAACCAGACCAATGACTCACTGCAGTGAATACTTCCAAGTAAAGATGTATGGACTAAAGGGTACACTGTGTGACTCGCTGGGTCATGCTGCAGCTTCCATGACGAGATTTCCCCCCCTTTTTCCCTTCCTTTTAAATTTTATTTTGTTTGGGGGAGTTACAGGGGCAGAAGGTGGGATACAAAGGAACAGGGAAGATGAATGGAATCAGGATGCATGATGTGAAATCCACAAAGAATCAATAAAAAGTCCTTAAAAAGTAGGTTATTTATTTCTCACAAGGTTTACAACTAACATTTGTGTATAACAGAAGGTAAGGATGGCTTTGAGTACTGCAACTGAATACAAGCTATGTGGGTGGTGTATTTTTTTTGAGACAGGGTCTCATTATGTAGCCAATGAGAACAAGCAGTCCTAGAGGCAGATCTAAAACTCATATGTAGCCTAGGTGAACCTCAAACTTATGGTACAAGTGATGCCAGTTTAGGATATTTTTGTTCTGTTTCAATGAGACAGGTTTATATAGGCCAAGCTGGCCTCAAACTCAGTATAGCTGTGGCCGCCCTAGAACTCCTAAGCTTCCAGCCTCCATATCCTGAGCGCTGGGGTTACGAGCATGCATCGCTCTTGCCCAGCTTTTTAGTCTAGTTTTGTTCATTATTTCCCTTCCTGTTGTCCTTTTCCAACACTGTGCATGTATTTTACTTTTAAACCACAAGTTCAGATAACGAGAGTGAGGACTCTAGGCAGTACCACCACCCATTAACTATCTTCCCTCAAACAGCCTCCATCGAACTTAAACCTTTGAACCAACTTAAGTTTACAGGAAACGTGGAGAGGGAAGAGGAAACACACGTAATGAGACTCAGGGCAGTAAACAGACAAGCAGAAGAATTAGGGATTTTTATGAGAGCTTGCAGAGATCCGAGTGTGTGTGTGTAGGGGAGTCAGGTGGGGACCACACTTACTGTTCATTGTTCTACAGGAGAATCATTTTATAATTTCCCTTCACTGGGGTGCTCCTCACTCCCCACCCCCTGCCACACGCCACCATGTCCAGCTTCCCTTGCCTTTTAAACTATAAAGCCAGGGCTCAAAAACAGCTTTGAAGGAAGGAAGCCATATATAAGGGGTACAGATGCCGCTTCATTCGGAAATCCTCCTCTGCATTTGCACCTGCTTGGCTCTTTCTCTCTGTAAGCTACGTGCACAAAGACACTCATTTGAACCCAACAGGTCTATCGACAACCGACACTGCAGGGATTTAAGTCTATTTCACTGTGAAAAGAACGGAAAACAACTGAAATGATCATGGCCAAATATGTTTTAGAGGTGGCCACTGAAACATGATTTTCTTCCTTTGCTTTTTTGAGACAACAGGCTTTCGTGTAGCCTCATATGACCTTGAAAGTGCTATGTAGCAGAGCATGCTCTTGAACTGCTGAACTCCTGCTCCAATCCCAAGGTGTACACACACCTGTTTTTATGCTATGACAGGGATTAAACTCAGGGTTTCATACACTCTAGGCAAGGTCTCCACCAGCTAAGCCAACCCAGCACTGAATATGATTTTTCTGACAGCTAAAAAATTAATCTAAATGTCTAAAACAGGAACCAATAAAAATTATTAACCCATACAATAGAAAAATCACACAACCATTAAAAGCACTGTAAAATTGTTAAGTGTCTCATATACAACAAATGGAAAACAGATTGTAACAACTGCCTCCTCCTCCATCTGACATCTTTCCTCTGTGCGTCTTGTAGGTGAAGAAGAGCTATCTTGTTTAAGCTGTCATTTTCCCTGTTACACAGGGCACACCAAATTACCTGACAGAAATTATGCTCTGATTACTACTAAGACTACTAAGATAAAATTGTTAACATTTTTGGATTTGCTTAACATCATATTGGCTTCTCGATTAATATGGTGACTAGGTATCTGTTAATGCTAAATCCTTCTATTGAGAAATGTAATACGCTTCACCTGAGTGCTTAGCAAAATGCAATTGTTTCTAAAATTGGTTAAAGTTGATGAGCAGGGAGAAAGAAACATCTTCCCTTCACATTTTTGAACTAGTTATTACTGGCATTGCCTTCTAAAAGGCATCTCATATTGTCAATCTTACTGTGCTTTCATTAATTTTCCAGAGTTTAGACTTGATTCCTTTGCATTAGCTTGGTAGACAACATCAGTAACAAGAACTAATCATTCTATTTATTATACATTTGTGGGGTTTTTTTTGTGGTGCTGGGAATGAAACTTGGGGCCTCTTGAATGTTCGAGTCAACTGTCTACCACTGCACTATGCTCCAGCCCCTCTTTCTGTTCTTGTTGCAAGAGCTAACCCTCCAGAGCAGTTGAAGGAGATGCTGGTAGCTGGCACCTTTGTCTTGTTCCTAATCTGAATGAACAAGTATGTTCAGTCTAATTGTTCCATTAGGAATGAGCATGAAAATCACCTCAAGTTTGATCCTCAGTGCAGACCTATGGAACTGAACATCTCTGGTATGTTACAGACATGGACATTTCCCAAAAGAGCCAGTCTAAGTCTGGTGATTCGGAGGCCCAACCCTCAACACTAAATAAACTATTTGTTCTTTTCTCCTGGACACCCTATTATGACTCTTAACTTAGCAAAGGGTACCATTGAGACCATACTCTAAGATTCAGAAATTGACACTTAAAGTTATAAAGTGGCCTTTCATCATTTACCTGGAAGGTGGTGACATGATTTTTCTTTATTAATTTAGATCAAATGAACACTTATTTTCCAATTTTAAACATCGTGATTACAGAGCTGCATTTATGTTTATAGTTTACAGTGACTTTACACACACACACACACTGATGAGACAGGTGCAGTTTGTTGCTATTACACAATAATGGAAGTCTTCCATCTCTTACTATGTGTTAGATCTCTATATGATATTCACATTATCTGTTGCTTAAAGGCCTGACAGCATTAGCATGTTATGTGGGCACCCAAAGGGCTTGATGACTCAATGTGCAACTGATTTTTCCACAAACATGAGACCTCGGCGTAATTGTTTTATTGCATATTAGTTATTGTTTTACTGTACATTAAGCCCGTGGAAGTATTTCACAACTCTCAAAGGCAAATCAAGCTTCAGGGATTCCTATCAAATTTACTCTCCATGTGAGGAAGGGAATGAAATTACTATGGATACACTTGTAAGTGGAAGACTCATTACAAAAAGTGATGTGCAATCCCAAATTTCAGAATATATTCTGTCAAAAAAAAAAGAATATATTCTGTCTCCTTCTCTTGTGAGGATTGAAAGTAGAACTTTACAAACACTAAGCAAGTATTTTAATCGCAGCATGTCAGGCAGAGCAGAAGCAAAAAGGAGACAAGCTGAATGAGGATACTAATGCTGATTAACCAGGCGAAACTGTTGATAAGGTAGACTAGGGTGTAGTTGTGAAGACAGAAGACGACAGATGGCTTGGCAAGATGATAAAGCGCAGGACTGGAAGGTGAGACAAGGTGTACATGCCTTTAACACCTTTAACCCCAGCACTAAGGAGGCAGCTATGGGTGATGTCGAGGCCAAAACAAGCCTAGAATTTGATCTCAGTGATGGAGTGCTTACTTGGCATGTGTACCCCAGAACACCTGTGCCAAGTTTACCTCTGTCTTTTACATCTCAGCTCCAGCAGTTTTGTTTTCTGTTTTTAGCAAACTCTTAAACACTTCCTACCACAGGTTAGGTTAGCTCTTCCTAGATGTTTACATAATTCATCATTGAGCACTGACTTGTCTGGTCATTTAATTAAACAATAGAGTTGTTGGGAGAGCCCAACAAGCCGTAAGTTTCCTAAGGACAGTCTTGTGCCTGAGTGATCACTAGTGAATGACCAACACATACAGTCAGAGAAAAATACTAACTGTAGTTCTCATTCCTGAAACACTGTCAAAGAATAGAGATTAAGAAAACTAGTGTTATCGTTCTAAGGGAACTAACTTACTGGCATGTTAAAGAAAATAGACAATTGTTATCTTACTTGTAAATTCCTCGTGACATATTTTCAATGTATTTTGCTTTGTCTTGGACTCCACAGTGGTAATGGTAAGTTTTAACACAGGCTTTTATTTCACATCCAATAGTAGCACCAGGCTGACTGCAAAGTGTACATTTCTGTTGAAAGAAAGAAAGAAAGAATAATTAGAAGCAGTACTTTAAGGTTTAGGCAACCTTACTTATTCTGTTTTAAGCATATTTTAGCCAACTAGTGCAGTTTATACAGAAACGGCAGCCAGGAGTTGGTGAAATGACGCAGTGGTTACAAGTAATTGCTGCTCTTGCAGAGGACTAGAGCCCAGTTCCCAGCAACCATGTTGCACAGCTCACAAATACCTTTAACTCCAGCTACCTGGTACTCACAGGTTACAACTTGCAACTGGTACTTGATGCCTTGCTTCCATGGGCACCCACATACATGTCTGCATACAGGCAGACAACCATATACACAGGCAAAAATAAGTATTAAAAAATTAAGAAAACAGCAGCTATTTTTTACTAAAAAAATACACCAACAAAGCAAACTTATATAGCATATAATCAAAGCTATGACACCATATATGGCTGGACTATAAATATAGGCGATACTCCTTAATTCTGCCAAATACAAAAAGAATAATATATGTATTTTAGTGATTTGATTCCTTTTCCTTCCTGAAATCAGATCCTTTCCTATTATTATTGGGAAAAAAATGAGAAAAACAGGAAAGCAATCCCTCCATTAGGAGGCTCACGACTAAGTTTCCAGAATGGCGAAGGGAGACTGATCGGGCTGAAATCCTTTCAAAACTTCTCAGCTTCTCCTAAATAATGCTGTGAGATTAACAGGTGCTTGCTGTGGGATGTTCTGTATGGCAAATGTGTTGCTGATTGGTCAATAAATAAAACACTGATTGGCCATTGGCTAGGTAGGAAGTGTAGGCGGGACAAGGAGGAGAAAAAACTGGGAAGTGGAAGGCTGAGTCAGAGAGACACTGCCAGCCGCCACGATGAGAAACAGCATGTGAAGACGCCGGTAAGCCACGAGCCATGTGGCAAGGTATAGATTAATGGAAATGGATTAATTTAAGCTGTAAGAACAGTTAGCAAGAAGCCTGCCACAGCCATACAGTTTGTAACCAATATAAGTCTCTGTGTTTACTTGGTCAGGTCTGAGAGGCTGTGGGACTGGCAGGTGAGAGAGATTTGTCCTGACTGTGGGCCAGGCAGGAAAACTCAAGCTACAGGTGCTCATTGCAAAAGAGATTTTACAGTGCAGTAAGTCTGACAAACATAAAACAGGCAGTTTGCCCTTTTCCAGAATGTTCCATAGCCCTTCTCCAGGGAGGGGGCATAGTAAATAGCTTACAAGTTTATTCAACTGCAGCTAGCCTTTTATTTTTGGAGTGGTGGGGGAGGATCATGATGGACTAATTTCTATCAGAGTATATACAGGGGATTGCTAGCTTAGCATTTACCCTAACCTTTAACAGAGCTGTACAATAAATTTATCTAGAGAACTGAATTTTTGTCCCACTCACTTATTTAGACTTATGTTAAACAACACAGCACTGTTGGATAAGAGGATAGGTGATTTTCCTATATGTTTAGTACTAAAGATTTCAGCTTCAAAGTAATCAAATTTAACCACCAAATGACCCGAATCTAAAGAACAGATAATTGTCACATTTTAAAATAGGAAGTTCCACAAAGAAAAGGTCAGTTCTAGTGGAGTTGGAAAAGGACCATAAATATCTGAAACTACCACATGAAAGACTGAAGGACAGCTTCACAACAGACTGACCACCCCATCCAGAACCACACATGATGTACCTGATAGGCAAACCATGGGATGATATAGTCCTTCTTGTGTAATATTAGTATGGCAACAAGAGTTAAAACTGAATCTATTCATGCCCTTATTAAGTGTAATTCCTGGTTCATTTCTTTCTAAAAAATTATGTGTTATGAGAATTTTGCCTGTATGTATATATGTATGTGCACCACACGAATACCTAGATCCCTTGGAACCGGAGTTACAAATAGTTGAGTACCATGTGGGTGCTGGGGATTGAACCTGGGTCCTCTGGGCCAATGCTCCAGGCCCTTATTTAAATTTTTCAAAAGATTTACTTTATTTTTAAATCTTTTTAATATTTATTCATTTTGTTTTTGAAACAGGTTTCTCTGTATAGCTCTGGCTGTCCTAGAACTTGCTCTACAGACCAGGCTGGCCTCAAACTCAGAGACCTACCTGCCTCTGCCTCCAGAGTGCTGGGATTAAAGGGGTGTGCCACCACCGCCTGGCCTTTATTTTATTTGATGTGTATGGGTGTTTTGTCTGTATGTCTTTCTATGCACCACATGCTAGCAGTGCCTACAGAGGCCAGAAGAGGGGGGAGGCCCCTGGAATGGTAGTTACAAATGACTGTAAACCATCATGTGGGTGCTAAGAATTAAGCCCAGTTCCTCTGGAAGAGTGGCAAGGGCTCTTAACCACTGAGTCATCTCTCCAGGCCCTTATTTAATTTTTCACAAGATTTATTTCAATTGTGTATATATGGTGTATCTGTGTGTGGAAATGTACACATGTGAGTACAGATACCTGTGGAAATCAGAAGAGGGTGTTGGATCCCCTGGAGCTAGAGCTACAGCGAGTTGTGATGTGGGTGCTGGGAACCTAACTCGGGTCCTCTAAACGAGTAGTACATTCTCTTAAACCTTGAGCCATCTCTCCAGTCTCTGTAATTCCCACTTTAGACAGAAATATGGAGGATGAACAAACAAGTTTAAAAAGCAAACAAATGTAGTTTGTGCCCATCAACAAGTCAGAGAAAGTGAGATAGAGGGGGCTGGAGAGATGGCTAGGCAGTTAAGAGCACTAGTTGCTCTTCCAGATGAACCAGGTTCAATTCCCAGCAACCACATGGTGGCTCACCACTGTCTTTAGATCCAGTTCCCGAGTACCCAATGCCACCTTCTGACCTCCATGGGCACTGATGCACATGAATGCATGCAGACAAAACACCCATACACATAAAATTAAAAGACAAAAGAGACAGAGATTGGAAAGAGGGGGTACTGGCCTGTATTGTGTAAGGGATATATATATATGAACCAAATGTAGGGGCCCGAGAAATGGCTGAGAATATATCACTCTTGCAGGGAATTCAGGTTTGGTTCTAGCATCCACACTGTGGCTCACAACCTCCTGTAACTCCAGCTGCAGGGAATCTAATGCCCTTTTTTTGGCCTCTGCAGGAACATGCAGAAACACATATACAAAGACAATGACACACACACACACACACACACACACACACACACACACACACACACACACCCCAAAGAGAAAATCTACAAAAGGGAAAGAACCAAAGGTGACATTTCATGGGGCTTGCTGTCCACCAGTCTAGCTTCAGGGTCAGAAAAATACTGTATCTCAAAGGCACAAGGAGGAGAGGGGCAGGGTAGGACACATGACATCTGACTCTTGCTTTCAGATACACTCACACAGGCGGGAGCAACCCAAACACACACATGCACACCACCCCACACACACACAAATAAGTGAAAAACTTCACGCAGTAAGAATGAAAAGCACAGGTGAATTCTCTGTGAATGATGACTCAGGAGAGGAGACAGGAATCTGGTACTAGCTGGAATGAAATGTTTCACAACAAAACTTGAAAGACGCTTGCATTCCACTGGCCCTCCACATTCATCAGCTCTAAGGTTGCACTTCTTAAAGCTACTGATACTGATGATCAGGTTATATTTAAAACTATGAAGTACTTTTTATTTAATTTCTGCATAACTGGAAAAAAAGGGAATGCACCCTAATTTAAAGCAGAATCAAGAATATTATGGCATATATATTCACAAATATAACCACAGACCATCCTTTTTCCTCGCTTAATCTCCTGAAGTACAGTTTTAATATCAAAATCTCCAAATTCTGCTCTTGATGTTGTTGTGAGCTGAACAGTCCCAGAAGAAAACAACTAGAAAAGAAAAACACAGAACATAACCACTTAACAGTTCTTCTGAGAAAAGTTTAAACAGTGCAGTACCAAAGTATTATGTTTCTATAACTCCCAGAGCAAAAGACTGCCTAAAGAATCACTATCAACTCAAGTACTTTAAATATTTTCCTGTCTCATTACAATAGAAACCAAGATCGAACTAATTAAAAACCCAACTAAGATTGCTAATTGGAGCTAAGGTTAAATACTCTGCTTTAAATAACAAAGATCTCAATAATACCGTCACCCTGTTTGCCCAACTATTTAATATTCCCAGAAAGTTTTAAAAAATAGTTTAAATTGGCAAACTTCTATTAGCGATACAGATTAGAATCCTTTCTTATCTTTTATTTTCAAAACATGTATGACTAAAATCCACTCCATGGGAGTCCTTAAAGGACACACATTTTGAAAAAGAAAATTCTGGGTAAATACAGTATGAACTCTAGTCCAGATTTCTGTTTATCTGGGGCGGTATTGTCTTAAGTTTTTTATTATGCTATATATTTCTGTATGTGCCACTGCACATATAGAACTTGCAGGAGTCAGTTCTCTCTTTCTGCTATACAAGTCCTGGAAGCAGCCAGTGCCTTTACCTGCGGAGCCATTTCACAGGCCCAATTATTTAGATTTTGAGACAGTGTCTCACTATTTGTTCTAGGCTGGCCTTGAATTCAAACTTGAGATGCTCTTTCTGTTTCAGCTTCCCTAGTGCTGGGTTCACAGGCTTGTGACTTCACATCTAGTAACAACTTTTTTTTTTTTGTTCCCGAGACAGGGTTTCTCTGTGTAGTTTTGGTGCCTGTCCTGGATCTCACTCTGTAGACCAGGCTGGTCTCGAACTCACAGAGTTCCGCCTGGCTCTGCCTCCCAAGTGCTGGGATTAAAGGTGTGCACCACCACCACCCAGCTAGTAACAACTTCTTATATAAATAACTTTTAAAAATTAATCTTAAGTGAGATGAGTAATTCAATACAATCTAGCTTAAAAGATTAATCAGGCCAGGATATAAGGATGTAAAGACAGAATCTCTACAAGGAATTTTAGTTTATTAGGAAAGATACATTCATAAATAACTGCAATACAGTGTGCTAAGTACCATAACAGTGATATTTATTAGATTATAAGTTGAAGCCCAAGACATTTATAAACATTCATAAATGTTTTTATGATTATTATAAAGATGAAATTCTTATAGTCATAAAGTAATTGTAGAGTATTTCAATATGATAACTATAATTAATATTACTTTAAGTCCTGTTTTTTTTTTAATCTGAAGTATATTAAAATTTGGGGCCAGGTGGTAGTGGTGCACACCTTTAATCCTAGCATTCAGGAGTCAGAGGCAGGTGGATCTCTGACTTTGAGGCTAGCCTAGTCTACAGAGTGGGTTCTAGGACAGCCAGGGTTCCACACTGAAACCTTGTCTCAAAAAACTAAAAGATTTGGGAGCATAACATATTACTTGTGATGTCTTATATTCATTGTCAACTTAACACAATCTATAATCACCCTATAGACAAATCTCTGGGCATGTCTGTGAGGGAATTTCTAATTAGGCTGAGGTGGGGAGACATACCCTAAATGTGGGTGGCATCATTTCATGGGCTGGGGTTCCAAACTGAATAAAAGAGAAGCAAGCTGAGCACAGACATTCACTGTTCTCTGCCTCTTGACTGTGGATCCAAGGTGAGCAGCTGCCTGAAGCTCCTGCCATACCAGTACTTCCCCACCACAGTGGACCTTCCCTAAAGTGGAGTCCAAACTGAACAAAGCCTTCCTCTGTTTCTGTTTTCCTTCTTCCTGTCTTTTCTTCCTCTCTCACTATGGAGCTCTCTGGTCTGCCTCCCAGTGCTGGAATTAAAGGCATACATACACTGCTACACCCAGCCCAAACTCTTCCTTTCTTACGTTGTTTTGGTCAAGTATTTTGTAAAGCAATGAGGAAAGTAACTAATACTTCCCTCTGCAAAGCTCTAAAACAATGTTTGAAACGAAAGTACTCGATTAGATTACCAGCTAAACGATGTTTTAAAAACACAGAAGAGCCACGCTTACCATGCACTTATAATGTGCGGCCGCCTTCTTGGCATTAAATATATGCAACTTCCCTCTCGCTTCATTTTCTTCCTCCCCTACATGGCAAAATCCACATTTAGGCCTGGTGTCATTAGGACTGCTCCTGTGTGGAGACCGATCTCGCTGTAAATAGAAAAGGGGGACAAGACACTTAAAATGGATGTAACACTTCAAACAAATACAACTTACCTGTAGACAGTTTGAAGGAAACTACTCATGTTCCAACACACAGGAGGAATCCACTAGTTTTCTACTTACGTAGGAACTACTTTCCATTTCGTCTGTTCCATGGGAGGATGTAGATCTGGTGTCTTCCGACAGCCCTTTAAAATTAGTTTTCCTTGGTCTTCCTTTACGACTTTTCTTCTTAGTCTTTGGAGATGAGGGCTCCAGTTCATGCTCATTAAAACTTTCTTCTAAATCAGCTGCTCAAAAAGAAACCAAAACTTTACATGGATCAACCTTAACAACCAGCACTAGTTCCATGAGCCTCCAGGCGCTATGCTTTTTATTAGCATGAAATGGCCCCTAGAAACAAGGAGGCCTGGTCTGTGGTATATTAAAAAGAGCACAATCCAATGTTTCAGATAATTGAACACAAAAAGTTAGATCGCAATCACTGTAACCTTATTTCCTTTGACTCTGTAATTCTGTAAAAATGAGTGTTGTGATACTGGTTGTGTGGCTTTTAAGCATCATTACAGTTATGATAAACTAGCCTCAGCCACACTGAGCACGAGGCAACAGTGTTAGCAGAGACCTTAGCCTCCATCACTGCAATTCTACTGAAAAGCATTGATGTATATAGTTCATCCATTGTGATAACTGAATGAACAACTTCAACTTGAAAGCCATTTATGATTGAACTAATTGATGAGTAAGTAAACATACCCTAAGTACAGAAAGAAGCTCTAACAAGCAATAAAAAGCCATTTGTGAGTTAGCTGCATAAAGTTTCATTAAACTCTTAGGAATTTTACTACTTTACCCATAAATAAGAAAAGAATTCTACAATTAACAGAAAGTATTTCATTCAGTTATTCACTATAAATATTTATTTATTAAAGGCCCATTATATGGGCCTCTGAGATGGCTTGGTGGGTTAAGGTGCTTGCTGCCCAAGCTTGGCAGTCTAAGTTCAACCCCCAAAACTGACATAAAGGTGGAAGGAAAGAAACAAAATCATAAAGTTGTCCTCTGCATCTGCTCTCTGGCACATACACGCATCATATATACACAAAGTTTTAGCAAACATTTTTAATATAACTACTTAGAAGATAATGTATTTGCTATTATTAAAAATGGCATAAAAACAAAATATTGATTTGCCTCGGGGCCAAACTATAAAAGTTTTAGACAAAACCTCCTAATACATTCATTGGTTTTCCATTAGCATGTTACTGATTGTAATTCTACAAACTAATTTCTCAATGAGAAATTGTATCAGCTCCTATTCTCAGATCCAATATCGTAGGATATACATCCCTAATGGGGGCGGGGGAGGACAACTCAATTAGTATATCTGAGTACACATAAACTCAGGGATAGTACAAGTATTAGATTATAAACCAGTTATACCAATTAGTCCCAGAGAGTGAGGAGAGAGAAGTTTTGAAACCATTAGGTTGAGAAATGGTCACTCAGCAGGTTAAAGTTCTTGGTGCCAAGACTGATGATCTGAGTTTGATCCCTAGGATCCACATGATGGAAGGAGAGAACGGACTCCCACAAGTTGTCCTGTGACCTCCAAATGCACACTGTGGTATGTACAAGGCCCCCAACACACACACACACACACACACACACACACACACACACACACACACACACACACACACACACACACACACACACACACATACACACACACAAATGTAGCCTAAACTTTTCAAGTAATTTTAATAGCACCTTTGTACTATTTAGTGTTTTAAATAAGTAATGTGCTGCTTTTCTAATCATAAAAATGAGGACTGTTTTTCCATCACTGATGAGAACATAAGCTAGCACAATTTTTATTCTATTTTACTTTTTTAAAAAAGATTTGCTTATTTTTATTTTATGTGTTTGGATGTTTTGTCAGCATGTAATATGTTTACTACCTGTGTGCCTGGTGACCAAGGAAGTCAGAAAAGGGCATCGGATCCCCCAGAACTAGAGTTATAAACTGTTATAAGCCACCATGTGGGTGCTAGGAAAAAACTCAGCCTCTCGGCAACAGCTGCATTTCTCCAAACCCCCTTTAAGTTTTTTTGACACAGGTTTTTACTCCGTAGTCTGGACTGGCCTTGAACTTATGGCATTCCCTCTACCTTGACCTCCTGAGTGCTGGGATTATAGGCTTGAGTGACTGTATCCATTGCCTAAAAATGATCTTATACAAACCAATTTCCATAATCCTAGTTCCTTGTAGATAATCAAATGTTTAGGGATTATAAAGCGTCCTGGTAATGTACTTCTACAAGCACTGACCAGTAACAATAGTTATGTTAGAACTAGTTGCTCTTACCAACACTCACCTTTTAAAGAGATTTATTTTTGTGTTTGTGTATGTGCACACTCATGCTGCTTTCTGTGGTGATATTTTATTTGTGCTGAAATGTGGTGATATTTTATCTGTGCTTTAATAAATAAAGCTTGTCTGGAGATCAGAGGAAAAACCAAGCCATTATAAGTAAACACAAAAGTCATGAATGAACACAAAAGTCATGAATGTTTGCACACACCTTTAATCCTATCACTTGGCAGGCAGAGATCTGTCTGGATCTCTGTGAGTTCAAGTCCACATTGGAAACAGCCCGGTGTGGTGGCACACACCTTAAATTCCAATACTAGTTAACCATGGAGGTCTGTACAGACAGACAGGGTGTGACAGAGCTGGGCAGGAAGAGGAACTGATGTAGCTGGATAGAGAACAAACCAGATGGCAGAACAGCAAGGAATACAGGCGTGGGTAGACAGGAAGTAACTCGCATTCTGAAGCTGCAGAGTTGGTGAGGTAAGGTTAGCTGTGACTGTTCCTATTCCTCTGATCTCTCTCAGGCTTTAACCCCTATTTCTGGCTCTGTGTTTTTTATTAATAAGACAGTTTAGAAATTCGTCTACAGCTTTATGCAGAGGCCTGAAGAGAATGTTGGACCCACAGGAGCTGGAGTTAAGAGGAGAAACCACCTCATGTGAGTACTGGGGACTGAACTCTGGTCCTCTTAAAGAGCAGCTCTTAACCACTGATCCTTTTCTTCAGTCCCACATTTATTCATTTTAAGTTTTTGAAGTTGTATCTCTTTTTATTGTATGTGTATGGGTGTTTTGCCTGAATATATATGTCTGTACACAATGTACATCAGTGTCTGCAGAAGCTAGGAGAAGTGTAGGCCCTCTGGAATTGGAGTTATAGACTGTTGTTAGTTGCCATGTGGGTGCTGGGAACCAAACCAAGGTCCTCTGTAAGAGTATCTAGATCTCTGAATTGCTGGGCCATCTCTCTGGCCCTGTACTTACTGTTTTTAAAAGGCTACTGTTAAGAGATGGTTCAGGCTCAGTGGGTAAAGTTTCTTGTCACTAAGCCTGACAATCTGAGTTCAGTCCCTGCATGTACACACATACTCATGCATGCACAAACACATACAAAAAATAAAGAAATGTACAAACGAACAAAAATAAAATAATTTTAAAAATTTAAAGGATGCTGATTGGTGGTGCACGTCTTTAATTCCAGCAAAGGCAGGTGGATTTTTGTGAGTCCAAGGACAGCCTGGTTACAAGCAAGTTACAGGACATCCAGAGCTGTTACAGAGAAACCCAGTCTCAAAACAATCAAAAATAAAAAAAAATTAAAGGAATAAACAATATAGCTCCTATCCAGACACACACAGGAAAAACTTGTAAAGATGTAGTGCTTAGCTAAGCATGCTATATGGTATATGTCCATAGTCTTAGCATTCAGGCTGAAAGCAGCAGGATCTTGAGCCGGAGGCCAAGATGGGCTACATCATAAGACCCTGTTTCAAAACAGCACTACTGGACAAACTACATAGGACTTAATTCTGTTCATTCTTGCCCACGTTTTACGGCATAAACTTCTCACTAAGAGTAGAAAAGAATGACAGGAGTTTAAGAACACTATTCAATACCATACACAGCTACCACAGTAGATGATGCAAAGTAGACACATCAAGGAAAATTCTACTAGTGTTATCCAGTCATTGGCTCTCTACTGCTCTGTAAAAAGCCAGGTATCTTTCCATCTGCACCACTTAGCTAAGCCACAACTTCTCAAGCTTGATCTTGTTAAAAGACAGTCCTTTTTAGAAAGTCAGTGTAAGGTTTAAGATTAGACACTTGCAATAAACTCCTAGATGTTGCTCATCCTGCTGATCTATAGACTACACTCTGAGTAGAAAGGATCTATGACACTCACTTCCTCTCCCAGCTGCTAACAACTACCAACTCCTGATCATGTCACCTCACACAGCAGGCTTTCTTCAGCACACAGCTCTTTTCTGTTCCACTGTCTTCATTCTGGCTAATTTCAACTGACCATATGGTCAAGCCAACAAACACCCAGCCACTCAGTTCCCTTACCTTCAATGATGTCCTCCATCAAGCACCCAATTCACAAAGTCACACCCAGAAACATCATTATTACCTAAAATGCTTCTACCTCTGAAATTCCTTTATGTAACTTTGAGAAATACATGTTTGTGCTGTGGGATAATACTTTTGTACACTGGTTTAATAAAACACTGATTGGCCAGTAGCCAGGCAGGAAGTATAGGTGGGATAAGCAGACAAGGAGAATTCTGGGAAGAGGAAGGCTGAGGAGGAGATGCCAGCCTGCTGTCCAGGGAGCAGCATATAATGGCACACAGGTAAAACCACGGAACATGTGGCAACATACAGATTAACAGAAATGTGTGGTGATATTTTTTTGTGCTGAAATGTGATAATTTATTTGTATATTAATAAATAAAGTTTGCCTGGAGATCAGAGGTCATAGCCATAAACAGAAGTCAGGCAGTGGTAGCACACGCCCTTAATCTTAATCTGATCACATGGCAGGCAGAGTCTTTGTGTGGTTAAGGACACAGCCAGCGTGGTGACCCACGCCTTTAATCCCAGTACCAACCACAGAGACCTGGAGGTCTGTATAGACAGGCAGTGACGAGGAAGTAATGTGGCTGAGCTTAGAGCCAATGAAAAGGCAGAACAGGAAGGCAATAAAGGCACAGGCGAGGTAGGAAGCTAAGGTTAGTTGGCGGCTATTGCTCTGATCTCTACGGCTTGCACCTCTGTATTTGGCTCTGTGTTTCTTATTTAATAAGATTGTTTAGAAATTCATCTACAAAAATGGGCTGAGTTTAAGTGTAAGAGCTAGTCAGTAGTTAGCCTAAGCTAAAGGCTGAGCAGTTTTAATTCATATAAGCCTCTGTGTGTTTACTTGGGTCTGAGCAGCTGCGGACCGGGCAGGACACAGGAAAACTTCCAGCTGCATGTTTCCTTTCCCAGCACCCATATAGTGGCTTGCAACCATCCAGAATTCCAGTTCCAGGGGATCCAGAGCTGCCTTCTGGCCTTCTCCATGGACACTGGGCATGCATGTAGTGCACAGACATACACACAGGCACATAAAATAAAAATACATCTAAAAAACACTGACTATAAGATTATGGCTCAAGTTCCAGAATGTAAGTATAAACATACACTATATAACAAGGAAACAAAAGGACCTGATATTCTATAGAAGTATACCATGAACTCAAAAATTGAAGCCAATTTGAAGTTGTTCATAAAGTATGAAGTAGAATCAAAACTCTTGCCGGGCAGTGGTGGTGCACACCTTTAATCCTAGCACTCAGGAGGCAGAGGCAGGCAGAATTCTGTGAGTTCGAGGCCAGCCTGGTCTACAGAGTGAGTTCCAGGCTAGGCTCCAAAGCTACACACACACAAAAAAAACCCTGTCTCGAAAAAACCAAAAACCAAAAAACCAAAAAAACTCTCTCACTCAGCAAAAGGAACTCAAAATCATTCTAGTTAGGTCTTTGGGAGTAGGGCACTTGCTGCAAAGGCTAAAGACATGAGTTCAATCCTGGGTTACACATGGCAGAAGGAAAAGACAAAGACCAACTCCTACAAGTTGGTTTCTGTCACACACACACACACACTAATATAAAAAAACACCCAATTTTTAATTACCCTTCTTTATACAGTCTGCACTATAGTGGCTTTTCTCTACCACTAGATGGTACTATTGGCTTTAGAAGGCAGAAAAAAAATGGGAGCCAGCTATGTTAATCAGTATATATTAATCATCTTTAAGAATCTCAAGTATCCTGTCCCAGTACATTCATATACTTGTACTAATCAGATCGTGAATCTTAATCCTCAGCTCTTAACATAGACAGCTACTCTAATCATAAAAGGGCACTGCATAAATACACTGTTAAAATCTGAAGGAACAGAATAATAGGAAAGCTTCCTTACGATGGTTCCTTCTTCCTTTTTCATATAATGTTTGGGATAAAACCCAGAGCATTATGCATGCCAAGCAAGCCACATACTACTGAGCTACACTGCCAGCCCCTACTTATAACCCTTCACAAAAGATTTTTGATTCACTTCTAGAACTGAGTGAAGAAAATTAGAAAAATAGTTGTATGGGATTTTCAATCACACTATCACCTGGAAAGTATTTTGTTCTTATTGTTTATCCAGTCTATTTCCAATGAAGCCACAAGAGGGCACTAGATCCCCCAGAGTTGGAGTCACAGGCAGATGTGAGGTGCCTGATGTGGATACTAGAAACCAAACTTTAGTCCTCTAGAATAGCACCAAATGCTCTTACCCTCCAAGCCATCTATCCAGCCCTACACTCTCCATTAAAAAAGAAAAAGCATAGAAAGTTTTTTTAAAAATTCATTTATTTTTATTTATGGATATGTATGTGCCTGCTTATCTACATTTAATGCTGAATTTATATTTAACTACTATTTTAATTGTATGTATTTGTAGAATATAGCATAATAACTCAATACACGGATACAATGTGTGATGACCAAATCATAGTTAGCATGTATATCTAGTAAATCATTTGTTCCAAAAATTTTAATTAACATTAAGCATGATGCATATTTCAATGCATGTATATGATGACTGTATTTTTAACCAGCAATTTAAAGTATTTGTATTAATGTGGACTTCAGATGTGAAAACAGTATGGTTTTCTACTATGAAAGCAAAGTAGCCAGACAGTAGTGGTGCATGCCTTTAATCCCAGCACTTGGGAGGCAGAGGCAGGTGGATCTCTGTGAGTTCAAGACCAGCCTGGGCTACAGAGCAAGTTCCAGGACAGGCTCCAAAGCTACACAGAGAAACTGTCTCAAACACCCCCCCCCCGCCCCCCCCAAAAGAAAGCAATGTATAAAAGATCAGAAAGGGCAACCGGTTTTAATATTTATTACCAGTAATTAGGTAAGTAGATTTTCTAAAGACTTATTTTTATTATTAGTGTGTGTGTGTGTGTGTGTGTGTGTGTGTGTGTGTGTGTGTGTGTGTGTGTGTGATGTGTGTGGTTAGGTATACATGAATGCAGGTGCACATGGAGGCCAGAGGCATCAGACCCTAGGAGCTGCCCAGCATGGCAGTTGGGAATCCATCTCAGATCCTTTTCAACAAGGCTTTCTATCTCTCTAGTTCCTAGTTAAGTCTTTAAAGATCAACTTCCAAAGCCCAGCATGGTGGCACACACCTTTAATCCCAGCACTTTGGGGAGGCATGGGCAGGCGGATCTGGCTACATAACAGAGACACCCTGTCTCAAAAGGATCAGCTTCCTAAAATATCAGTATTTGATCCATTTTAATTTTGAGCAGAACAGTCTTAGGAGCAAACACAAAATTTAAAGATTGAGTTCAAGCTAAATGAAAACATGAGTTAATCTGAGATTGAATCTAATCCATTTTATACTGCTAGTAAATGTATCAAAACCATCTGTTTGAAAAGGTCTGACCAAGGGCTGGAGAGATGGCTCAACAGTTAAGATCACTGACTGCCCTTCCAGAGGACCTAGGTTTGATTCCCAGAACCCACATGACAGCTCACAAGAGTCTAACTCCAGTTCCAGAACATCTGATACCCTCTTCTAACCTCCATGGGCATCAGACATGCTCATGGTGTACAGACATACTTACAGGCAAAACACCCACACACTTAAAATAAAATAGAAAAAGAAAAAAAGTTTGACCCCAGTCAGAATCCAAATTCGGAATTTCCCCAGATCTTTTAAAGACCAAATGCAAATTGGCTAACAATATATAAACATGACTAAACTAGATTTGTAAATTTAAGTGGAAACAAAATAAGCTTCTATTTTTAAATTTACTTATAAAGATGTCTACTTTCTTCTGGAGAAAAGCATAGTACATCTCTACTTATTTCTCAGTGAGGGATGTGTTTTTAAATCCCAGTCAATACACAAAATCATGAATAATTCTAAATGTGTTTTTTTCCTTATACATACCTACTTATGATAAAGTCTGACTTATAAGTTGGACACAGTAAGGCATTAACAACAATAACTATAAATAAAACATAAATATATTGTAATCAAAAGTAATTTAAAACTTGTTTATTTTTGGAAATTTCCACTTAATATTTCTGGATCATTACAAACCAGAAGTAACTGAAACCATGGAAAGCAAAATCATGAATAAGGCTACCAGAATGTGTTGAAATTTTCCCAGAACGTATGCTGGTCCAAAATACCTTAGTATTCCTAAATTCACATTGTCTATACTAGCTAATAGAAGCAAGAATCCCAATTACCACCCTTACAAAAACATGTCACCCCTACCATTGTCTCTTCCTAATGTGACATAAGTTTTAAATATATAATTTATAAGACCTCTGGGGTAAAAGTTTTCTTTTAAAAATTGCTCTTATTTCCACTGGTTTGTTCTAACGAGTTCCCAAATTTTAAAGATACCTAATAGTAAGACTGATCTTAAGGAAAACGTTAATAGAAGATTATTCACTCATTCTATTCAAATTTCTTCTTGAAACATGAAACTGGCTAATGAGACATACCTTCAGAGTTATGTGCAGTTTTCTTGTGTTTTCGACAATAAACCCTGAGGGGGAAAAGTACAAAATTATGAACTAAATTAAATTCATTTTTCAAATGACAAAAATGAGCAGCACAGTCCACCCCATTCATAAACTGCTACACTTCCTAAATCATTTAACTATTATATATCAAAACAGCCTTTATAGTGACAATGAAATGCTTTGAATGAGGAAAAAACTATAAAAGCCTGAAGGAAGGTATGATTGCTTTAAAACAAAGCAAAATGAAACAGTTACATGTAAATGCCTTGTGAAGGTTTCTCTCGGATCTGAGCTTTATCATGCAATGCACAGTGGTAGTGGTATGTCCTGTGGCAGGTTTTCACATCACAGCCAATTGTTGCTCCAGGACAATGGCACAAAGAACACATCTAAAGAAAAACAACAAAACAATATTCAAATGTGAGCTGCTAATACTGTCACAAACAGGTTAGGGGCATTCCAATTTCTGTCAGGAAAAACAAACTGGTTATTGAAAAAAAAAATCTAATTCATGTTATTTTTCTTATTTTGTCTCCTAAAAATAATTTAAATAAAATTATTCTGGTGGTACTTTTTCACTAACAAAAAATATAGGGTGTTATAAATGTCTGTTATTTTTCTATGGCCAAGAGAACATCTGAAATACTGTAAATCATGAATCTTAGCTATATATAAAAATCAGTATAAAAAAGATAGACTTCTTTTGCAATCCAGAACTTGCTGGATACAATTAATTAGGAAAAGTATCTCATGTGAATTTTTTTCCTTAAAACTTCCACTTAAATCAGCAAAAGAGCTGATGATATAGCTCAGTGATACACTGTTTCCCTAGTCACAAAACCTACCACCAGTCCCTAGTACCACCACCCAAACCAATTTTTAAATCAGATTTAAATGAAGAGTTAATGAAAATTAAGAAATATTTAAATGAAAAATCTTTGAGAAAAACTCCCCTATACTATTTGGGAACCTGGTAAAATCAATTGGAAGTTAGGCCAGTAGAAAGGATAAAAGAATTATAAAGCAGTTTTAATACCTTGAGCTGAGGATATTCTGTGATAACTAATTGATTATACTGTGAAAATAGGCCTGCCTGCTTCAATTTAATCTTACTTACCTTCTGCATTATGAATTCAAGCCAACAGAAAGAAGAAGAGATTCTTTCAACTCAATATATCTTACATTCTGAACTTATTAGATAGTAATTAACTAGCTCATGCTCTATATTTAGAAAGCAATTCTTTTTTGGAAGTACATAACAATCATTATTAATGGTTTGGTTTCACAAAACACAGTGTACTGTACCCAGTGGACTTTTAATGTGCCATCTCCTAAGCTATAAATGCCTTATCAAAGTGAATCACAGTAAGGGAAAAACAAAACCTTAACTTTGTTTCCTGGTTGCCAGATGCCTTCATCTTAACTCTGATCTCAGTATTCAGAAGACCAAGGCACAAGGATGGAGTTGCAGGCCAGCCTGGGCTACATTTACTGGGACTCTTGTAGCATGAATCTTAGAGAGTCTTATTAATAAAATCAAACCCGGGGCCAGTTATTGGGGTGAAATGCTAGATGGTCAGAGAGACAGAACAAGCCACAGCTACCTCACCTCGCCGGATCCTCAGCTGGTCTTGTCTCCTCAGACTGGAGTCCTCATCCAGAATAGGTCTCAGCTGAACTGCTGCTAGAAGCCTGAAAGCTTAACCAGCCAAATGCTTAACCAGCCAAATGCTTCTAGTTCCTGGTCCTCACGCCTTATATATCTTTCTGTCTTCTGCCATCACTCCCTGGGATTAAAGGCTCACTCCCTGGGATTAAAGGCGTGTGTCACCATGCCTGGCTGTATCCTTGAACACATGGATTTCTGCCTCTGGAATGCTAGGATTAAAGGCGTGTGCTACCACTGCCTATCCTCATGTTTAATATTGTGGCTGCTCTGTCTCTGACCCCAGAAAAGTTTATTAGCGTGCACAATATTTGGGGGAATACAATACCACAGGACTCTGTCTCCAAAAACCAAACCCAAGATCAATCATGCAAAAAACAAACAAACAAACAAACAACACTTATGATCCTAACATTTGGACTACTTGGTCCCTAAGCAATGCTGACGTACTAAGAGGTAAATTCCAATAAAATTTCTCACATTTCTCTAAGGAAATCAAACACTTAAACTCATTCATGCTATCATTTTAGAAAATACTCATGTAAGTCAAAAATAAATACTCTCAATGTAGGTACTTCCCAGAAAACACAAGGGCCACTATCCACTATTAATACACAAGAAATAACCCACTTCTTCAAACGAGCACCGAAACACCAAGTAATTACCATAAAAAGAAACGCTGTGCTAATGGGGGTATAGCCAGATCACAGAGCACTTGCTCAGCATGTGTGAGGCCCTAGGTTCAACCTCCACCTCCAGCACCACAAAATGAAGGATTAGAAATACTGCCTTTACAAAGTTTATATCCCTGTCCTAGTAATTGCACTTCTACATATTTACTGAAAATACTATCAGGCATAAACAATTTATGTTTAAGCACATTCACTGCAGAATTGTTTTGAATAGTCTCAATTATAAAACAACAATCGAAACATGTTTAAATAAATTACGTGTCTTAGCAGCTGTTGTTTTTCACTCATTAGCACTTAAAAAATTAAAGTTAATAAAGCACTATGTAAAAAAATAATAAAATAAATAAATAAATTACATCCATATGAAGGAATAGTCTATTGCTGCTCCTTGGGAGGCTTTTTTTTTTCAGAGAGCATCTCACGTTGTAGCCTAAGATGGACTCAGATTTGTGATCTGCAGCCTCAAACTACCAAGTGCTGGAATGATAGGCATGTCCAGCATACCCAGCTTCAAAGTAATAGGTCTATAGATGTTTAGTGAAAAACCAATACGGGATATGAAAATATGTTAATTTCAATCTCAATTATATTTCTAGTATATAGTCTTTGAAAATGGGTAGAAGCCAGGCAGTGATGGAACACGCCTTTAATCCTAGCACTTGGGAGGCAGAGGCAGATGGATCTCTGTGAGTTTGAGGCCAGCCTGGTCTACATAACAAGTTCCAGGGTAGGCAGAGCTATACAAAGAAACCCTGTCTCAAAAATAAAAAAGAGAGGGCGGAGTTACCAGAGACTCGGAAAATGGCTGACCGGCTTGCTAGCTGCTCGCTGCTGGGAGCCTGCTGGGCGTCCAGTTTGCAGCAGGAGCCATCGGATAAAAACAAGCACTGCCCTAGATAGGCGGTGCTCAGCGGAACGCTGCGGAGCCGCGCCTCCAGGTTTGCTTTTCAGGCTGGTGTCTCACCGCAGAAGCTTCGACGGGTTCTGGCGCGAGCTGGACCGAATGACCCAAAGGCAGCCAGACGGCAGTGCCTGTTTGGGAGATTTGGTTTTGTATGCTGTATCTTTCTGAGATAATCTCACAGTGCAGTGCTGCAGTTGATGAGAACTCGGTAAATCCGTTCGAGTGGGAAAAAAAATACAAAAAGAAAAAAGGAGGGTAAAAGTAAACATAGCAAAAAGCTGGTTTGCTATTTTGGAATGCTCTTAATTCTCTGTATTTTCTGATTTTCCTATAGTATTCAAAGTATTTTGTTGTGCAAAAGTTATTTTTTAAAAGTATCAGGAATAGTGTACCCAATGCATTCAGTGCTTGTCTCTCAGCTGAGAATGCAAAGGAAACCAAAATATGCCAGTATTGGGGAGGGGGGCTATAAGTTCAGGTATGTCCAAAGTAAGTAGTGTAAGCTGCTATGGTAACAGAAAGCAACTTCATAAATAACCAACTATAGCAACATAGGAAGATCATGGTTTTAAAGCGACCAAAAGCCTATTTTGTCGTCCGTTCCATTCAATGAAGAATAGTGACAAAATACCAACAAAAATATTTTAGGGTAGAAAATACTTGTCAAGATAAGGAATAGAATTTCTTTGGGGTTTTGGATTTTGGGGGAGAGGGTATTTATTTAATACTTAAAAAAATATATTTTTCCATATTTTTTATGTGTATGGGTGTTTGTGTGCCCAAGGAGGCCAGAAGAGGAAAGGCACTGGATCCCTTGGAACTAGAATTACACATAGTTGTGAGCCACCAGGTGGATGCTGGGAATTGAATCCGGGTCAGCTGGAAGAGCAGGCAGTGTTCTTAACCACTGAGCCATCTCTCCATCCATTGTTTCTCTTTTTGAGATAAGGTAGGCAGCACAGTCTAGCCTTCATCTGGCAACCCTTCTGTGCCAGCTTCCCAAATGCCAGGATTTTAGGCATGCACTCGTATGCCTCTCACTGTGTTATCCCAATCATCTATGCTATAGCCCAACACCTGCAACAATTCTTCTCCCTCAACTCCTACGGGACAGGGTACATGGCAGCCTCATCTTAGTTCTTACAATTGTGCTCCCTATTTGGCTATTTTTTAAACTGCACCTTTATTTTTTAATAAATGAATAGAGTTCACCTTCTATAGTATTTGTTTGTAACACTGAGAAGGACGCTAGGCCTTTGTCCATGGTAGGCAAGCACTCTCCCACTGAAAACTAAGAGAGTGCTCAATAAATTTGTTGATTTTGTTAACTGTGTTAATTTAATTCTGTTACTGTAAGATTGGAATATCTTACACACACACACACACACACACACACACACACCCCTTAAAAATTGAAGACTTTACCTATTTATCTTCAGGTGCTTCTAAAAATGATGATGAACTGGATGTAGGCATATACCTTTAATAGCAGAACTCTGGAAACTGAGGCAATTTCAAGTTTGATGGCAACTTGAGTTCAGGATTTACTCAGAAACCAACAGTGGCTAGAGAGCTGGCTCCCTGGATAAGAGCACTTGCTGCTCTTGCAGAACATGGGTTCAGTTCTCAGGACCCACATAACGCGTCACAACAATCTGTAACTTCGCTTCCAGGAGATCCAACACTCCCTTCTGACCTATCAGGACACTGCACAACACATGCACAACACTCACACACATTAAAACAAACAAAACCACACACACACACACACACACACACACACACACACACACACACACACACACACACCTGACAAACTGTATGATCCGGAACTAGAAAAAAGTGAAATTGAGGACAATTCAGTTGAAAGAACACAGAATGTAGGGAGGAACAGATTAGCCCTTCTAGAAACAAGAATGAGAGCTTAGAGATAAACATCATAATTAAAGAAGCTAGGAAAGATAGGTAGGTGAAACCATTTCTGAAATGCAATGGCAAATAGAAACAAAAAAGGAAGACTTTTCTTAAAAAAAAAAGAATTAGAAAGGAAGCGAGAGCTACTGTCTTTTTGGGGGACTTGGCTGCTGACAGGCTTCCCCATAGCCTGGCGGCTGTCCTCACACACAT